GACTGTCGATCAAGATCTTGAGGTGGCGATTGAAGTGGTCCTCGTATTTCTTGAGGGTTTCGTCCATGCGCACGAGGCGGGAGGGATCGGACTCTGCATTCGCGTTCGGGGTAGGTATTGGGGGCTGTAGCTGCTGCAGCGGCAGCAGTGGTGGTGGTGGTTTTGTTTGGTTCGGCTGCGTGGTTGGTGGTGATTGTGGTGGTATTGGGATTTGTGAGATCCGGATCGGCGGCGTACAGAGAACGGGAGAGGCTGGAGGTATATGTCGCGAACATGGTGCAGCCCATCATGAGCTTGGCGTGGATCTTGAGCAGTTTCCCCTGCGTCAGGCCGAGGTCTTTCATGCAGCTGTCCAGCATGTCGAGGTGGTCTTGCATCAGTTCGTCTACTGTTCTTTTCGTTTTCGTAGTAGTGCTTGATGAGGGCAACGCTGGCGGCTGCTGCTCCTGCTGTGAGGTTTGATGCGACAAGTCGTCAGGCGCCTTTGCTTCATCGACTTTGGCCATCAATTTTTGCCAGTTCGGCTCGATGACTTCGGTGGTGGCGAAGAAGAGCATCTGTTGCACGAAGACGAGCATTCGCGCCCGGAGGGTCCAGGCTCGGCGTTTCCAGATCTCGATCCGTGGCGAGGAGGATTTGTGGATCCAGGACTGGGTCTTGGTGTGCTCGGACCAGCAGTCTACGAGCATAGTTTCGAGATGGCGGAGGGCGAGGGTGTAGCGGAACAGGAGTTGGTAGCGGAGAACTGTCTTACGGGAAATAACGAGGCTGAGGGGGAAAGGGACGGTGTAGTCGATTTCAAGGGCATCGAAGCCGTTGATCTCTTTGTCATCTTCTTTGGTCACGCTTGGGGCCGGAGTGGCCTGGTATCTCTCCACCATGGAGTCCTGGTTGTCTTGGTCGATACCTTGGACCATGACGATTTTCATCAGCCATTGGGTCAAGCTGATTTCATTCATCTTGACTCTTACATCTTCTTTGAAAGGGTCGGCGGCCGCAATACTGCCTGGCTGACGTAGCACCAGGTCAAGAAGAGATTGTAGTTTCCCAATGTTGACGCTTTTATTCGGTTTGCGGAGTTCGGAGCTGGAAAGTTCGAGGAAGTATAGGAAGAACTCGGCACGGTCAAGAAAGAAGTAATGTTTGAGGGAGCGGAGACGGCTCCGGAGGGAGTTCTCCGTCAGTAGAAGAGAGAGGAGGGAGGAATTGGCGTGAGAATAAGCGGTATTGACATTGTCGAGAAATTGCGGATCTGAGAAGGTTTGTGGAATATTGGTGATTTTCTTGCTGATGTTGACGCCGCCACATTCTCGGACAACGTTGAGGTATTTGCCTGCGAGGAGGATCTTTTCCTTGACCGCTTCAAGCTGAGTAGGGACTTCTCGATCTCTGATATAATACCTCTTCTCCCAGTACTCGTCTGTGTAATCCTCGTCCATTCGTTCTCGCTTAATGCCAGAACGTTCACCGATCAGAAACTCCGAATGTGGGTCTTTGATGCCACCATGATGCAGCCACTCATTCAGCATGCTTACATAGGGCCGACTTGCTTCACGTAGCAGCATCTCCAGTAGAGTTCTGGCAGAAGGATCGCCGGAATACGTCTCCAGTCTCTGCGTCAGGAGTGCTAGCACATTGCCGCCTATACATCCTTTCTTGGTCATGCTCCCAGGTAGCAAATCCCCTCCCTCTCGTAGTCTTTCCAAGATATTATCAGCGTCGTCAAAATCGTCAATAGACTCGTCTAGGTCCTCCTCAAGCAACGAATTCTTCTTTAGCAGCTCTTGCGCTAGCGCGTACAGATGTGCCAAACTTTGCGCCGTGGGTATGACATGCAGGTGCATTTGATGCAAGGTGAAGGACTGATCGCTGATCACTTTCCATTCCAATTGCGCCACGAGGATCAGGTAATCCTTGAGCAGCTTTCGGATCGCGGCGCACAGAGCGTGGTTGACGGAACCGAATTCTTCTCGGCTCTGAGCCTCAACAAATGCTTCTATAGCCGAGTAATGAGTTGCCATCTTCAGCATGGACGTCGCCAAATCCTTCAGACTGGGATCAAGACCCGGAAGTATGCGAAAGTCCGGCCCAGCCAGCTTCGCTTTCTCCTCCGTTGGGTTGTATGAGTCTGTAAATCGTACATATTGTCCTTCATAGCCCATGAATACATAAAGAAGATCGTCTAATAGCACGCTTTCTTGTTCCTGCATTGGCATATCTTGGAATGGTTTCGGGAGGAGAGTTCTGGGGGCGACAGAGGATACCGGCGGTGCAGATATGCGACTCGCAAGAGGAGCAGAGGAATGAGGTACTAAGGTAGCTTGTGGACTCCATGGACTGGTCGCTGTATGAATTAGCATTGTCCTGTTTGGTGAAGCGGCCTGCTAACGCTCTCCCGTGTCCCTCTGTTTCCTCCGAAACTTTGGACTCTCCACAACATCCCGCTGTCGGCCGTCATCCACTCTATTGCCAGCACTGCTCGAGTCTTTGACAGGACTCCTTCGTACTACCTTTTCTCTCGTGACCACGCTCCTCTTCTCATTCCGCCGTTCGGTGGTACTGAGATCTCTTCTGAGTAGTTTGGAGGTTCGTTCCGTACTCCTATCATCCATTGCTTCCTCAAACTCCTTGGGCGGTACGTCCTCGTGATATGGTGGGGTCTCCACATAGTCCTCGGCCAGACTGGTTGACAGTCGGGACCTGGTCCCGCTGATGTTTGCGCTTCGACGATTCGAGGCCCTGGAGAAGGACGAAGCCATATTTCGGATTGACGTAGCATTTCTCGCGAGATCGTCGATCTGTTAGGTCTCCTGGTGTAGCTTGGTTGTTGTCTGGAGACGATGCCGCATTGCACAACGCGCTTTGTGGCCGCGGGACATTGTGTATGCTTCTCATTTAGGCTTAGGGCGAGTCTCCCCGAAGCAAGCTGCGTACCTGAGCTTTTGCCTGGCAGCTCCGATTTCAAGTCACAACTTTCTACAGAGCGATTACTACCCTCTAACATCGTGCTGACTCCACTTGGCCTATCTTACTTGTATTTAGCTTAAGATCTACTTTCTCCCAGGTCGAAAGAGCTTTGTTCTCGCCAGGATGTTCATCGCGCGGTCAGAATATGGTAAGTCCACCATTCGCAATCTACTTCTACACTACTAACAGGACCTGAACAGACCGGGGCATTAAGTGAGACTCCTTTGCACCTATACTCTGTACTCGCATAATCACTGATATGATACTAATAGTACCTTCTCGCCGGAAGGCCGCCTTTTCCAAGTCGAATACTCCCTCGAAGCCATCAAGCTCGGTTCAACAGCCATAGGAGTCAGTCAAGTCCACCCTCATACAAACCCCTAACCCTCCCACAATCCCTTACTAACCATCAATCTCCGATCCAGGTCGCAACCTCGCACGGCATCCTCCTCGGCGTCGAAAAGCGCGTGACCTCACCCCTCCTCGTGTCCTCCTCCATCGAAAAGATAGTAGAAATCGACTCGCATATCGGCTGCGCCATGTCCGGGCTGCAAGCCGATGCGCGAAGCATGATCGAGCACGCCCGCGTCGAGAGCCAGAACCACGCATTCCACTACAACGAGAAATTGGGAGTCGAGAGCTGTACACAGGCGATCTGTGATCTGGCATTGAGGTTCGGGGAGGGCGCAGATGGAGAGGAGAGTATCATGTCCCGACCTTTCGGAGTGGCTTTGTTGATAGCGGGGTGGGATGATGATGGACCGCAATTGTAGGCCAGCTCATCCAGACGCATACCTTCCCACGCAAGTCCCAAGCGCTAATGTCTATGCAGATACCACGCTGAGCCATCAGGAACATTCTACCGCTACGACGCGAAAGCCATCGGATCCGGCTCCGAAGGCGCCCAAGCCGAACTGCAAACCGAATACCACCGCTCCCTTACACTCGAAGAGGCGGAACAGCTCGTCCTCAAGACGCTGAAGCAGGTCATGGAGGAGAAGCTAGACGCCAAGAATGTGCAATTAGCCAGTGTCACAAAGGACAAAGGCTTTAGGATATACGGCGAGGATGCGATGGCGGAGGTGGTGGGCAGGTTGGAGAGTAATTGAGATTTGGTCGAAGAGAGAGAGAGGGAGAAGGAGCATGCAGTAGATGATGTGTGGAAGCGCAAGGGGCCTCGATACATGTGTGCATTAAACAGGGCGCCAGGCGTCACACGGGTACCGGTCAATGAAATAAAAAGGTCGGCATCGCGTCCTCTACACCTACTTGTTACTTGTACTGCTGCCTTAGCATCCAACAAAATGGCTTACTGCAGGGGATGGTTAGATGCACCAGAATCGCCCCTGCAATCAAGCCACTGTGTGGCACGGAATCGATGGCACTCGTGTTGTATGGATTTGCTTTTCATTGATGTACGGAGTGCAATTGAGGTATACCATGTAAGCTTGATAGGGAACAAGAGAAGAAGACCGATACGATGGCTTCCATATACTATAACGTCTCTAAGTATGCATGATATGTCTAAGCATTTTTTGTTCCTACTCCGAAGGGACCATCCCCTAGATACCGCGGCCGTAGTCAGGCAAGTCGCGCGTTTCCCTTGTCACCTAGACAAGCAACTCTTCGGTATATACCTCTATTGTTTGGTTTCAGCGTATCGGCAGAAGAGAAAAAGGAGGTTTGCTGTTTCTACCCTCTCTCGCACAGGGTGTTATACAGAGAGTGGCGTGCCGTTCCCGAGGCAGCTTTCCCAAGCTTTCGCACGCCGTACAGCCAGAACTCAGGTTCTCGGTGGGCTCAAATGTCGAATGTGAGTCTTTTTGAATCATTGATATATGGTACAGCTGTTTCTTCACCAGGGGTTTGCCTGCCACAATGATGAACAGACAACCAGATTGTATCATACGTCGTCGCCAACCCCTTTACTATACCATTTCGAGAGGTTGAGATGTGCATTTCCGCTATCATATATAGCATTGGCATCCGCGCTTGATGATATCGATGGCATATCCTCTGTGCAGAGTCCACGGCGGTAGTTGGCCGTCCAGGAAGTGGGTATTGGCGTGATGAGATTGCTTGTGGACGTGCAGCTGCGACTTGATCATGTCGGATATCTCTGTCGAGTCTAGAGCTGCATTCCTCAATGCGTTTGAAGGTAGTGTATAAGGTGGCCGCTTTCGAATGCCGCTCCACATGACTGATGTCGATTGCGTAGTTTGAGTGGTCCATAAATGTGGTAGTTTCTGACGTGAGTGTTCGAGATGTATCACTCGGCAAATGATCATCGACCGACTAAAGGCGATGATGAGCAATGTCAGGATTTGCAGCGTGCTACGCTTTCCGCGATAAGTACCAAGAGATTGATGATGACCAAGGACATGACAACGGGTGGGATTAGCAGCGACGAAAGACTTATCGGAGTGATGATGAGGAGCATGAGGAGGACGGCCAAGGTGAGCCGCTGCATCGATTTAGAATCGCCACACGCTCTGCCCAAATGCTGGAAGTTCATCATGCGGGTATTTGAAGGCAAACTGCTATCGAGATGTTGCAAGCTGATCCTGCCAGCCTTCTTGTTGGCTTTGATATTTTCTGCTTTTCTTCTGTCCCGACTCTTGCCTGATGCCCTCCACTCCCTTACGAAGCAAAACACGGGATGAAAAGCGGTCAGTGCACCGGAGGCAATGATGACCATCGGCCTCTCACAGATCACAGAGAGAACTTCATCGTTGGCCAGCTTACCTCCAAATCCTGCCTGTGGCTCTGCGACACTGTACATAGAGCGGACAAAGATCATGATAGCTGCCATGGCCAGTGCAGTAGCAGTAGAATGTCAATTTTAGATTGCAGTGGTTAGGGTGAGAGGAAGAGATGAAGAACACAGTATAAATGTACCGAAGACTATGTAACCCTCCCAACTTCGTGGGTGGTTGAAGTCCGTCATGCATGGTTTCCAGCATGTATTTACCTGCCTGGCCACTTCAACCTCTCAAAGATCAAAGCCGGTAGAAAGGTCCACGGACAGGATAAGAGAAGACTTGGAAAGCAAGTCTGGCCACCATAGTATATACGCCCAGATGGGATTGTTTCTCCTCGTCCGGACCAGCTGGGCCGCCAATTGCGCCACCATCAGCTTGGAGATCAGTGGAACTAGATCACACGATATGAAGACATGAGCGCTAGGTTTTGGGTTGAAGACCGGAATAGTGCTGGAGGATAAAGAGAGCCGATACGAGAAAAGCAGAAGTAGACTCCAGGCGAATATGAATGCGGGCCTAATCGTCAGGTAGATCGGATACCTATCTTTTTCATAATGTCTCATCATTCATTGCTATTGAAGAATGACGTTCTAGGCGGCGACAACCCGATACGGGACATTGTTGCATTGTATTCTTGTAGAAGGCAGCTCAGAAGGAACGTGAGTTACCTACCTGCAAGTCCCGCAACCTCTTCCCGACTTCCTGATTCCCAGTCGTCCGTTCATTTTCACAGGAGCTGATGATGGGTTATTTCTATAGAGGATCCTTCAGACGTATCACGGTATAGCGGTTCCGGATGGAGACAATAATAGAAGATGAGACTGATGCCTGCTATTGCCAAGTCAATTCGAAAACCTTCGCTTGCATTCGGATATGCACGCAATAATGCAGCGTCCTATACCTGTGTGGTCCAAGGTGACTCTCGAAGAGACAGAGCAAACTGGAGCTGAGCAAGCAGGGAAGGAGTCTCGATAGCCCACAGTAAGTAGCTGAACGGATTCTGAGGAAGTCAGTTCGTCCCGGGACGGAAAACGACACCAAAATGTTGAGCTGAGTATACAATATCCCACAGCGAGGCATCGCCTATATTATGCATGATGCTGTGCTGTTCTACGACGATCGGTCTCTGGTGTTAATGTATGGAGAGCCAAAAATCAGAATGCTGCATAGTAGATACATTGAAAAGTGCCTAAACTGAAAGACGCACATGGGTGAAATCGGTATTTAGAAACGACTCGCGGGCTGACATTGCTACCGCGAGAGATTTAGAGATGCATCAACGCATTAGTGAATCCCGTTCGTTGCTTGAAGGGATCCGTGATGTCTACATAAGGAAAAAGGAAAATTGGATTGTTCCTTGATAGAATCTATGTAGCTATGAAGATAATAATGCTCTAAGGAGCAATAACACAAAGGGGTGAAGACGCGGTAACTGAGGAATGGGTTGACGAGAGGTGTTTGGAGCTTCTTACTCATCCTTCTTTCAAGAGAACAATGTCCGTACGTCACAAGATCTCTCCTCATTAAGCTAAGTAGTAACCTTCCAATCTTCAACCGGAGGAAACGCCCAGATAAAGTGCCACCGCTTTTCTGGAGCTGTCCGTGCTTCCAGCCCAGATATCACTCGTTGTAGATGCATCACTCGGGGATCATGCGGTCCAAAAGCCATTTCTCCACATTCCAAAGCTTCTTCTTCCCATCTGCTTCTTGCATCGAATCTCTCCTGTGTATCGGCTATGACGGCGAGCATTCTCCAGGCCTCGAACGTCAGTAAATGGGCTTGACTTTCCCCAAATCGCTCTTTTGCTTGTTCAATGATCAGATGAAAGCAGCGCTCTGCTTCCTGAAATCTATAAAGTGCGATATAAGTCTGAGCAAGGAGGTAACGTGAAGCATGAGATGCGGGTTTGTCGTAATGACTGCGGAATTCGACGGGATCTAGAAAACCCTCGAGTGCAGCTCTTGCTTCATCGAATCGACCTTGCCATATCAGGAGCCATGCATATTGATACTCTAGTCGAATGTAATATGGATGTTGAGGTCCAGCTCCATTGCGAAAGTGTTCCATGATTCTCCGTAGAGCCGCTTGAGCAACTGAACGGTGATCAGTCCGCAATTGGACAAACGAGGAGCAGAGCTGGGCGATAGGATGATCGGAGCGCAACTTTGTCTCTGCCATTTCGGATACGAACTCCAGGAAGAGTCTCAAAGCATCAGGTCGGTGAGTGTCCGGCGGCATCTCTGCTCTAAGGAAATCGAGCAAAGACACCGCAGAGAGCAAGCATGAAAGGAGCAAGGGACCCTGTTCAAGCAACAAAGCCTTGATCTGACTATTAGCGTGATCTAGGCAGCGCCGCGCAAGTGTATATCTAGCGGAACGAAATAGCTGACATGCGGTTTGAATGGAATGGACAACAAAAGCTGGATCTGCTTGCCATGACGGTCTGAACGATATACCGGGAGTGAAGACTGGGCTAAGGCTTGGAAAGCTAGAACCCTGCAGCTCGTCAATGTACAGATTGTTGCCTGTCCATGATGCCCAACGAGGAGAGGCAAAATACTCTTTGTAGTAATGATCGATGTGAGTCAGCAGGTTAGTAGACGATATTGCTCGTGGTAAAAGAAAGGTATTTGGTAAGGACGACGTCGAAGCCGAAGCAGCCAGGAATCGCGGTAATGGGTATGATGCATCTTGCGACGTGCCCATAGAGGTGGGAGTTGACAGGTGTGATCTGATCCTAGGTGGGCTGGTCCATGATCTTTTCTTGGTTGGTGGTGGTTCGGAGCCGGAAAACCTTGCAGTTCTACTTTCTTCATCAAGAGGCGTTCCAGAAAATGTAGGCGTATTGGAGGCAGAGGTTGCGGGACTGCTGTTCATCAAAGGGGAATCCTCTTCAGGAGGTGGAGTTCGGGCAGTGACCGCTGGCGGCGTTGATGCATCCTCCTCGGGGACCAGCTTGCTCCTTTCAACATATCTCCTGAGTCTCTCCTCAGAAAAAGTTTTTCCTCGAATGCGAATCTCTGTATCTTTGCCCATGCTGCGGCGCGACTCGATTTTTTGCAGAGCGTACGCCACCTCTGCCGACTTCAACTTCTTGTCAAAGTCCCACCTATGAATACGTATCTGGTACATTCTGTCTCTGAATATGGTAAGGCAGAAGCATGAAAGTGAGCCACAGGAAAACTCACGAAGCGCAGAAGTCATGCTGCTCTTTCATAACCTGCCGAACCTGCTTGATGGTCTTGTTTTCTTGTCGATAGAGCCTTTTGATTTCCTCTCGGTGAGATTCCCATGCTTCAGCAGTAGGCACATCAGAAGGAACTTCCTGCCTCGATGCCATGCTCAAGAAGTGGGCTGGACGCGAGGATAACACACCCAAAACAACTACATTTTGATGTCACCTCCCACTCTTGTATATTCTTGATATGCTAGTTTTCAAGACAAAACTACTAGATGTGGCTAGTGCCCGAGTGAAAGAATTGTGGCGATAAGAAATGTGGCTGTGCCGCAATTCGTGGATTGAGAGGCCATTGCATGAGGAGGGGTCATTGCAGTAGGCGTGCATGGCACCCCATACCATGTAACGGAATGGCCGTAAAGGATCGCCGACTCTTGCTTGCGACGGAAACGTTGCCTGGTAACGAACGAACCAATACTCGCTCATTTCTTTTCCCAACTTCCAACTTCGAGAAATCTTGGGATGGGCCTGGAGATTTGTACTCCAGATATTTCATTGGAGCGCAGATTGACCAGGATGGAAATTTGATGGCTCTGAAGGCATGAATAGGAGGATGTTAAAAATTAGGATCGACTGGCGCAATGAGGCTGGAAGTATGCAACCCTACCGTGGATGGGAGCCTGGTTGTGACCTTGCAGCCTTTGATGATCCGCCGAACCAAACAAAGCCTAGGGTTCTGAAAGTTCTTTCTGTGCGCTCTTTTCACATCTCAATATGCAGGGTGAAAGGGCAAGGGACTAACTTCGGGGTTAATGAACAAGCAGCTATGTCCAGCTTCGCTGACATGAAGATAAGGTGCCACGAGATATTCCGGTACGCTTATGCTATTGGCGGCGTCCCTGAAGCTTTTCAATCGGTGCATCTTCCGGCAAGAAGAATATTCCCCGGTATTGGATGGAGGTTCGTTGAAGTCCAGGATCGCCACCTTGTGTAGGTGCCTGCCCTGAGTCTTCACCGACGCCACTCTCCTTTGCTTCGCATGTGGCCTTCGATAGCTCCCCATAGGCTTTCGACCGTCTCCCTGTCCCTCCACCTCCTACCTTCTCTTGTTTGTACATCTACATTCGTGCCATGAGCCTTCTCGTCCCAACGTTCAAGGAAAAAGGATTTCACCCCCGAACCCCAGCTCCTCACCTCGTTTGGTGGATGCTGACCCCTCTCACCGACATAGACACCAAGGATGTGCCCGAAGAGCTCTTGTGGTTCACGCCACTTATAACTCCGAAATTGCCACACCTGGCCTGTCGTGAAGACGGCTACAACACGGTTCCAATAATCAGGCTTAAATTGCTCTGGACTGTCAACAATAATGAATCTGTATGGGCGCCCGCTTGGGTCAAGAGACCGCAGAGGCCGCGTGATGTGGAGCAAGTTGGTTGACGTCTGGGACGAAAGCTGTGGATGATCCGCTGGGACAAAGAGTCCCGAGTCAAGGAACGACTTTATATTTGACAAGCGCAGAAGCGAAGATGCTGATGGCGACAGAAGTATGATCGGGTCTTGACGCTTTGATTGAGAGCTTGCCGCCTTTTGAGGACCGGACTGAGGCCGATTAGCAAGGGTGGTTGGCCCTGGCTTCAAGGGTTGCCCAGGACGATTTTGCTGACCAGGAGGCGGTTTCCGATGTCTACCCAGAAACGCCTCAGCAGTTTTTCTTACATGAGAGAAATCCTAGATCAGAAGACTGTAATCAGTATGAAATCAAACTACACAGGATCGTTGCAAGCACGAATATATCGTTATGGCTTTCACCCACCGTAGGTTTGATACCCCTAAGCACACTATTACGATCGCCCATCAGCCTCTCCCCATTGTAGATTTCTTGCAGTCTCGCATCAATGACCTTGACGGGTCTTCCCCCGACACTAGTCTGCTGGACCACACCGACTCCAGCACCAGAGACAGTAGGAACACCAGCACCGGCTGCAACATCGGCCACTCCAGCCGTAACGTCTGTGCTGCCACTACCTGAACCCTTAAGAGGCTTGATGTACTCCGATTCATCTGATGCCCCCTCTAGCCATGTGATAAGATCCAGACGCTCGACGAAGACTAAATTGCGGATCCGTTGGCCTTCGGGGAGCTGGCCATCCAGTTCTTGGGCCAAGGCAATATACTCATTCACGGGAACGTCCTTCTTGACCCAGGCGAAGTATATGCTTCTTAGATCGACCGCAGTTGTATCTGGTGTGGTTGAGACAAATCGCGTAGAGGCACTTAGCGGTAGGCATTGCGGTAACGGGTTCGAAAAGTATAGATGTGTCGCAATGGCAAGGGAGTCGACCTTATTAGACTCGGCGGTATTTACATCTTGCGAAGTTGTGAGTACCGGTAAGGCTTGTGCTGCTATTGCGTTGCGAAAGAGCAAGAGACCGTCATCTTGAGACATGCTTGATCGACCGAATACTTCGTTACAGAGTTAATGCGGACTGTTCTTTCACAATTGCTTATCTAGCTGGTACCACATTCATTTGAAGAGCTCATATTGTTTTCACTGGCCAGAAAATCTAGGGTAACTCGCAGGACAGGTAGCGCAGGCTTGGCATTTGAATGTGCTCCATAGTATTTACGGCATAAATTATGCACCACTGGATAAGGATAAGGTCTGTAGAATTTAATGGCAGGCAACGCTCTTCTACCGTGACTGCTTCTAGGGCCCTCTCCCAGGCTTCTTGATCTTTAGCTCAAAGACAGAGCCAGCTAAGCTCTAGCCAGTTGCGCCCTTATGTTATCCTTTTGTCTCAACACCTACTGACACCACACTAATTTAGTATAAGAAGACCTAGCTGCATCTGATACCAGTCGGCGTGGATTAAAAACTTTTGATGCATGACTCCGTACATATGTGGATCAGAACGGGCCACGCATGGCCCTGATACCGATCGAATGCTGAGCTTGAAATGATTCTTCGGCTCGGAGGCTGCTATTGAGGAGCGAAAATATCCACCACGCAATGCTATGAACGAGATAAGGACCAGGTGTTAGTATCCTGGCAGCAATCATCTCCTCCACCATGGGTATCAATCCAATGCAGTATGAGTCTTCAGGTCGCTTACATGACGAAAGTCATCGAGTAGAGGCCACCCAGACTCCTGAAAATGCAAGCTCGAGGCTGCGAAAATTGCGAGGCGCTCCCGTTAAATGCTACTAGATCTTCCCAAACTGACGTGAGCTGACAGTGATGCAGCAGTATTGAGTAACGAGAGTACTCAAGAACAGAAAATCATGATGTACAGTCAGTCGTAGATACCAAGCCGTCTCATTCGTAATGCTGGTGAAAGAATAGATTTGACGAAAGCTTGACGGGGCCTGATTCAAATGCTTGGTAAGTGTATTCGTCGTGCAGAGTTGAGATTCTCTACGTGACAGATCTACTCATCGATCTTTCTAACGGAGCTGGGCCGGGTGAGAACGCTCTGCCCGTCAAGCCGAGTTCTGGCTCATGTTCACGCAGTACGTTGGAGTACTTTGGATCCCGGACAAATTTTGGCACAGAGTCCTGTACGAATATTAGATGCGCGGAATGAATGTTGGTGGTGATGCTTACACTCGACATGAGCTTGAACACCGAAACCTGTGCATGTTCGAAGAGCTCAACCACTTCGCGCAGACTCTTCAGCATTGATTCTTCATCACCAACTGCGCGAGTCATGCGACTGGCCAGGCTGTTGCGCAATGCATGGTCGATATTGAGTTCGCAAGGCGAGCCCGGAGCTAGAAAGGCGTTGTAGAGTCCTGAAACGTTACTTCAGCATATCTCAAACGACCCGTAGTACTATAGAACCTACCATAAGCACCGGCCAAGGTCTCACGTACAGCATCCAGTCTTGTCAATGCGTTGCTCTTTTCCAGCGACCGGTAGTTGCTGGTGAACTCCTTTACATCGAGATAAAAGCTTAGATTCTCTTCACAGAGTGAATGTCTAAGGAACTCTCGGAAAAGTAACCTCAGAGCTGGATCTTGCAAAATCATGTTTAGCCTGTTGTTGTTGCCACCAGGTGCCGCCCGAACCTCTCTCCTCCTCCGACGCGAGTCGTTGCTGCTGCTGCTATCGTCCCTTGTGATCCACCCACAAAGTCTTTGTCCACGTTCCGTCAATGCATAAATGGCATTCTTCGTTGGATGGAAGGTTACGTTGGGATTTTGTGATTGGTAGAGCTTGTCGGGAAGAACGCAACACATTAGTGCGTTTCGGACGAATGTCTCTGCGATCTCGTATGTTTCCTGCCGATCGATAGTGCTACAGCAATCAAGAAGCCAGTCTGAAGCTGCTTTACCGGTGAATGAATTTTTGACGACATTGTCGGCAAATTTCCGCTCGGCAGCCATCTTCACACCAAGTATACCGCTACGATAGTCATTCAACGAATCTGTGTCCGAGATTGATGCACTGGATTTGATATTTGGGCCATCTTGTCCAACAAATCTTCGGAAGATGACTTCGATTGTGCCACGATCTTGAGAGAGCTTGTCCGTGACTGTGTCCCGCTCCACCTCTACCAACTGCATCGTATCCATGACCAGAAGTGGTTTGATATGGTCGGAATTGATGCCGTTCCGGCTACAGAACCTGTGCAGAATATGAATGCCCTTGGGTGTGAGCTGCCATACTGCACCCTTCAATGTGAACAATGATGCAGCTTTGCCATCCGCCGGCTCTATAAACCTGGCGTCCAAAAAGCGCTGGCACACCGATCTGGCCATCTCTTTTGCCATAGAGAAAGTTGTAGTCGTGGTTGTGGTCACAATTCTCGAGGTGTCTTTCGGGTCAGGCATGCGATTTGACTGAGAGAATTTGAGGGAGCCCAGGTTGTTGATGGCTTCTTCTGATGTAAAAGTCTGTTCCATTCTTGTAAAGCGAACCCGATGTGCATTCAATGGCAGGCTGACGATCAGTGTGGAGAAAAGATCTTTGAAGTCTTTGGTGAAGGGCCGTTCCTCGTCCGTCATACGGAGAAGGCGCGACGAAGTCTGGTGCATCTTATTGTAACCGCCAGCGGTTGTTGAATGAGACTGTGCAGGAGCACTGGTTGGCGAAGTATCCACGGAATTCTTAGCTGAGTGCAGGGGAGGTGATCGGGTCGGACTTGGTGTTGAGCGAGGCTCATGGGATGTTTTTGATTCTGCCTTTGGCATAGGGTCGTCAGGAAGCGAGGGTGGAGGGTCCGCAAGTGACGGAAATGCTCGCGATTGTCGAGAGAGGCTGCTAGAGGACGTTGCAGAGCGCAGCGAAGGGGTTGAGGTGTTCCCAATAGTGTTCAGATTGCTCCAAGCGCTAGAAGTCTTGTCTCTGGCAAACGCAGCAAGAGATCGTCGGCTGGCTCTGTTGTGCGCGGAGGGAGAGCGGTAATGTGAGCCTCGCAGTGAATCTGAGCTGGAGGCGCCCGAGGCCGAATCATAAGGCAGTGAGTACGATGATGTCGCGGAATGATCGGATTTCGAATGAGTTCTGGTAGACGAAGAGATCATGGAACAGTTCTTTGGGCCTCCTGTACTTGCAGCGGCTGACATGAAAAGCGAGGGGTCAAGACTTGGACCCAACTCGACTCCACTACCCGCAGCCGAATCGCTGATGTGAGAAGAAAGGAGTCTCGACGGTAGCAAAGATGTACTTGATTACTCTCAAAGTACCGAAGGATTGGTCTATCACCAGCGCAGGGTTGGTGTATAGGCAAACGAGGTTAAGGTAGTCGTACAGGCACTTTGGGTTTGAGGATTGGGGGCAGGGCAGGGCGTTGTGTGAATTCGATCAGCGAAGAATATTCCGGTACGATGTGGCTGCCAGAGGCGCCTTGTCATAGCTTCTGTGGCAAATCAAATAGATTGAGCGGCCGCCAAACAAACCAATTTAGTGCATTTCGTCTAAGGTGGTACTGGGAGGGTACTGGTAATTCATTTTTTAAGTTATGGGCATAGCGGAAGAAGAACCCAGGAATCGGGGGTTTGGGGCTTTGGGGGTGGAGGCAGGGAGACAGAGCTTGCAACGACTCACTTGGCCCGTAGAATGGATTTTTTTGGCTTTGCCCCTGTCACAGATTCTATGCGGCCGAGATACCGTAGTAAGTTACTCTGTATGATCGAGAGTGGTGCTTTTACTACGGTAGTACTACGTTAGAAGCTTCCTCAAACGACGCTAACATCCACGTGTTACGAAGATTGCAGATGGCCACCTGGCAATTAATTGTGATGCAATAGTGGCTCCATCGTATGCAAGGTCAACGTATCAGGAGTCGCTGGCCCAAGCCGACTTCCGTGCTGGCCATGTTTGAGGTTTAAACTCTGTCTCTGACATTTTCTCCCAGCGACCAAATCTGGAGGACTGTTTCAATCGAATGCAGCCTGCTACCTAGCACGATCTGGACAGGTCAGAAAATCGCTCATTCCGATAACATCAACGTTTGATTGACACAACGGTCGGTGAATCTCCTCTGCGAGCCTGGTGGCCACGGCAACACCAGAGCTGCCGCGGTCGCTGTTACTAGCGAGCAATACGAGCAGCCGGCCAGGTTAGTAGTACTAGCCATTACTAATGTGATCTCTTGGGTTGCAAATTCTCCGATTCGGAGTGCGTGTGCAGTGGCAGGAAGGCAAGGGAATTGGAAGTGGTAGTCATACGGGACGGGAGAGGAATATGGATATTTACCGTACGGGACGGAACATTAATGCTATTATTTTGAGCTCCGTACTCCGGGCTTCACTGGGTACTACATATGCTCCTCCACCAAGTACACATATACTCAACACGGTTAAACCACCCACAGCTTAGGCTGCAATTTGTGGCTCAGACCGGCTCAGACCCGACCGTCCCAGCAGCTGCAACCATCCATTTAGCTCCGACTGACTGGTCGCAAGTCACTCATCACGGCACTCTTTCTCTTAGGCTCCCATGTACGGAGTACACATTTCCCTATAAGTCGCAGGTTGGATGACGGTAGACATGTCTAACGAGGCCCTCGGGGAACGGTTGTCGTCAAGCACAGTGACACAGTACAAAGTAGCGTCAGTCCTGCAGCTAAAGGGGATTGAAAGAGTCGAGGGTGCAACAGGATCTTCCTTGTGCCCCTTCGCTATTACTCCAGTCATCCAGAGACCAGACCATCCTAGACAAATGTCTTTTTTACCCATGGGGAGCCATGTGGGTCTGCTTGGCCATTGGCATGGAACTATCCCCGAATACGATTCAGCTCCCCCAAAGCACTAAGACAAGGGATAGACATCATCAATAACATGTAGTAACAACGTAGAAGCATGCGAATGATCTGATGATCGCTGGATTGGAAGGGGTGACATAACAATACCGGAGTAACCCAACAATGTGGAAGACTGTATCTCCCTGGCAATTTTGCTCCATTGTCGCTGGAGATGCTGATACCTACCAGTCAAGCGAGAAGTATGCTCCAACAAAGATTGTGAGAAACATAGATACTAAGCAAAATTACATGGACTCCACACCCAAGTAAAAGTCATAGGTAACAGCATTTTGATTACAAAGTACTCGTATCGTCTGCCACCCAAGGAAAGGGGCCGTTGCAAAGTAAACGGTGGAATGGACTGGACTGTACCAAGGATGTCAAAACGCTGGTCCAGACCTTTCTTAGCATGGTGCCATCAATTATCAGCAACAGTTTTACAGGTTTCCATGTGTCTTGTAGGATGGGTGTGGGGTTGCAGCTGCCCCCACCTTCTAGCATCATTAAACACGCGTGGAAAAGAACCATTGCGGATCCGCATTCAGCAGGCAGAAGGCCGCCCTAGAAGGTACATCATGATGGTACAAAGGCTGCACAATCTGGACATTAATGTAAGTCATCCGTACGTAGTAGTAGTAGCTAGCAGTGATGGATACCAGCCAAAGGAACAAATACTTGTTACACTGTGCAGCATAAGCACTAACGTAGTCAGCATGGCCCCCTTCCATCACTGAGCACTAAAACCCCATGTCTGATCTTGCATAATTTACCAGGAAGCCCCTGGTGCCACGTTGTACATTCATGAAATTACGAACCCCCCAGACCCTCTTTCCACCGTCATGGACTTCTTCGACCCTGTTTGAACCTGGTGAAGGGCGGGAGTACTCCGTACAAGCGAATGGCTCATAGCAGTAAGCAACGCGTGGCAATGGGGACTTCTAGCTTGTGGGTATATCACACAAATGCTGCACATGTTGCCACAAAAAAGGTCAGACCCTCTTGCCAAATGCAACAATCTAAATGCAACCTCCTAATTCCTGGGCCATGCATTTCTCCTTGCAGCACAAGCGGAGGTAATAATGAAATCGAAAGTGCTGTATTAGTGTTGTATTCGCGCCGCTCATGAGATCGCCAGGCAGAACTGCCTAACAAGATTGATGGGCCCAATGACCACAATCGTGAAGGCCAGCCAGCCATCGATAGCTCGCCAGCGCTCTCTGCCTTATCCACGTATCCTTTGACCGCCCTGCCTAGTCACTCTTCCTCCAACGGTTTGGACAAACGCCTGAACTAAGCTCAGCTCCGTCCTCGCAACCCGATTTGCGGACCAGAGAAAAGTCTTGGCAGCCATGTGGCTGCGACCGATGCCATGCATCCTGCAGATGAGACACGTGGGAGACTGGGATCTTTTGCCACTTCAATAATACTACGTGGGGTGACTCCTTTGAAAATCCTTGGGCCAAAATAGAACTCTCCTCCACGTGCCAGCCGACAAAATGTTCTGCAGCCACAGCAGCTTTGCAGCTCGGTTAGGTAACCTTGGTCGTTGGTTTTCCAGATGGAGTTTGGTAAATGCAGAAACGTGCCAACGCACAGGTCACCGCAGTGTGCCACACAGAGGAAGCTGCTGCTCCCATGTACCTCATGCATTTTCATCCATCTCATGATCATTCGAAGTTCTTACCATATGCTGCTACGGACTGCCCTATGTCAGGAGCTATCATATGCGAAGATTGATATGATAGCTGGTCATGATTCATCATGCGTCTTTAATTGTCTGCTGAGACATTGTCCTGATCTTCAACTTTACCGTACCAATGCGAAAGGGCACCTTGTTCTCCCACGATATAGTTTGTCAGCGTGATCTCGGTTCTGTACCATCCGCGGTGGAAGTGGAGGTGAAGGTGAAGGTAAAGGTAACTCGGACAAGAGACCCTGGAAGACTTTTCATCCCGTCGTTGGTTTCACGTATGTTTCTTTCGGAGAATCTTATCCTTAGCTCCAGTCAGGCTTCATTCTCGTTTGGATTGTTCATGCTCGGACATGCTCCTAGATGATTGATATCTCCGAGATACATCCTGGGACGCCCCTTTGTGGCATTGAGGCCGGGCAAGCTTCTTTGCTCCGCAAATCATTACTCAGAGAGGAGTCAGCTCAAGCAGAGGATTTTTCTATGATCTGCAATATGTTGATGATCACGAATCCACTTTAGGGTATGAGTCGACTATTGTGTGACTCCTATGTTTTCATACCCAAATCATGCAAAGTGTGAAATAGGCAACTGTACAAGGTGTACAAGCTGACCAAATGAGCGACTTCACCTGCGGACCAAATCGCGGCCGTTATCTTTTCTTCCTAGCAGAACTCCTCGCGTCTCTACGGAGTACATCCACCTGTCCTGCACAACGGCGATCCATAAAACACCCTGGTCATCCCAACATTAACAGTTCATATTATCAGACCAGGAACCAACCCTTTCAACTTGCCATCTATTTTAATGACCAGGCATACAGATATATATATATCACACTCTCCTGTTCACCACCAAAGCTCAAAATTCTCGATAACAACGGATACGGATATCAGGCGGTCGACCCTTCCTTACCGCCCACAGATCCCCTTCTCCAGTCACAGTTTTCAGCATCCCATAGGCGAATCCATCGCCTTCCTATCTCATTTCCCCGGCGACCGACTCCTCATCCCTCTAAAGATGTAGTAAACTGTGCGTCATTTCGCCGTTGTTAAGAGCTCTAAGGGCGTAGTGACCCAGTAAAACTGCGCGATATGATCATTCCGCTTATAGAACGATGACTCATCTAAGATCGTACAATATGAGCCGATTGGAGCGATGTGAAAGAATGGGGAACAGGAGAAGAAATGACACAGCTCGGCCTAAAAAAAGATTTCATGGTAACGTTTCCAGGTCTAGGAGGATAGATACGCGAACAACGAAGTAGGGTAGAACATCGCCAGAGCATGGTCTCCCAAGATTGACGGGGAGAGACTTTGACCCGTACTGAGAACTGATATCCAAAGCCCGAGATTCTCCTAAGTAGGAATGCTAGCGGAATACACTCAGCTGTCTTACCTAATCCAAGATGGATGGCAAGACGGATGGCGAGACGTTGCGAGACGCATTACTCGTAGTGACTAGCGCAAGCTCTTTTCTGTTGTCCCTTCCTTTGCTACAACATCGAACTACCTTGATTCTGATATCCGCTCTTTCTGCCCTGTCAACCTTCGATTCCCGTCCCGAAATCTCTTCGAACCAATCAATCACCACATAAACCTCTGCACCGCCCCCCGCTCCTGCTCCCACTCAAATCCGCGATACAGAAACATCCAGCACGTTGCCAGATTGACGAGCAGAAACCAGGCTGTTTCGAGGTAGAGCCACGTCGATCGATGCTCTAATATCCGACTCATAATTCCCACTAGTCCCTTAGTTGATTTTGACCGAGGAGAGAGTTGAATCGGTGGTGGGGGTTGGACGTGTAAGCGCCATATCAGCCAGGGGAGGATGAAATAGCGAGGCTCGACTAGTGGGGCGGTGACGAGGGAGAGGGTGGTGGATATGAGGAAGACGAGGAGCAAGGAGGTGCGATTCAGATTGGCATTTTCTTGTGAGGCAGCTTGAGTTGCAGGGATGTTGTTGGTAGGTTTGTTGCCGTGTTTTTGTGGAGGAGGGCAACTGCCTAACGCGGTAATTGTTGCCCAGGCGCAGGAAAAGTATATAGGTACTGCGGCGTACTTGATTGAAGGGTGTCTAAGGAGGAGTCTGAAAACGTAGAAGACGTAGTGGCGATTATCCGCGAGGGTGAAGGGGTGGACGATGGTGTTGAAGTGTACTGCTAGTGCCATGATGGCCATGGTAAGGATTGCCACGATGGGTCTGGGAAGCCTGGTTTTGAGGGAGGCGAAGTCGTTGATGAGGATGTGGATAATGTGTGGCAATATTACAGGCCAGGAGAAAAACACGACGTACGGCCATAAGTAGAGCATCTGTGGAATGTGGATGCTGGCAACGTGATTTTCCTTGTCGCCTGTCAGACAAGTCAGATATTACGGTTCCGGGATAGGATTAATTGAGCTTACCTAGGACTACGCCACCGTTAACGAGTACAAAAGTAATGAAAGAAGTGAGAAGAGCAAGGTACGGCCACAGATTCGGTAGTAGCGGGAGTGGGTCTTTCAATGCTGCGGTAGCCAGAGAGACGGCGGTCTTGATGTAATCTTCACTTGTCAGTAGTATAGTTGAGATTGCCAGTTCGATATACCTTCTAGATAAGCTTCGCTAACAGGCGGGTCATATATTGCTTTTGAAACAGAGACAGGACCCACGGACTTATTTGCCAGGGGCTGCTTTGTTTTCTTGACATGGTGTACTGCGTGAAGACCTGCTAAGAACACCGCTGCCCAAAAGATATTGGTCTGGCGCAATAGGACGCTGTATAAGCCAATGATAAACATCTTAGCGGATGCCAGGTTCCTGACTGATGAGGTATCATGCAGGGAGCGAAAGTGGTATTCGTATGCACCAAGCACCAAGCTCACAGAGCACACATCCGTATAATATAGCCCAGCAAAGAAAAACAGCAACGGGAAGAGAACAATGTTCATGACATTATGGAAGGAAATGCCGTCTTTTTGACTAGTTCTTCGAGAACGCCCCAATTGCCTATACAAGTCCCATACTTGAGCAGGAATGACACAACTCGCAAGAAGTGTGTTCAGCCATCTCAAGTCTGCAAGACCACAATCAGTCCCACTAAAGACGAGTTGTTTAGCCTTGAGGAAAAGGTATGACACGATATAAAGTCCAGGAGGGGTAGTAATCTTTGGGTCCCATGTTCTGAACTTGCCAGCACAATAGGCCTGGGCCTGACGGACGTGGAAAACCTCATCGAGATAAGGCTGTGAGACAATCGTATTGACTTGATAGAGCCATGTCATGTAGAGACTGAATATGAGGGAGAAGATGGCTATATCCTGGACAGTGGGCATGGCCAGTTAAGAAGATGGCAAGATTGGGAGGCACCCAGGCGGAAGCTTGGGGCATGACACCGCCAAGTTTAAGCTGTTGATCGCCCCTGAATTTAGGCTTCCAGCTGGACCGGAGGACCTAAACACGCTCCGCCGCTAAGAGGACAATTCACAATACTGATCGCAACTTCATTGAATACAGTCTAAATTAACCGTCTATGACGAGACTTCAGCTGTGAAGGCTGAGCAAGAAAATGGCATTCAATCATCCCCCGGGACTTACGCCGCCCGAGATTGCTTTCATCTGCGAGATGGAGCTCGTCACAATCATTCCTCGCCAAAGACTCGATCGCCTTGATCTCCTTGGGGTGAGTGACCCTTGAGCATGGACGTCTAGAAGGTCAGATGCCTTTTTCAGCATACCTACTCTCATGCATTGAAGGATCTAATAAGAACAGGGCCCAGTCAATCCTCTCATCCCACCCCAGAGATCATTATTACCCCTATGGCTCGCATTGTTGTTGAAACGGCAGCGGCGCGCCAATATCGTCCCTCCACCCTGGCTGCATCCTGTGTCACTACAAGAAATACTGGAGCTCGAAACCACACACTTCCCGGACTCCTTTTCCCCGGGACCTGCACTATCGGTGCCGAATACCTTACAGTCTCACATTAGGCCGTTTCACACCTCAGCACCTTTCCTTCCCTCTTGCACAGCCGACGCTTCAGCTGAAGCACTACCGTACCACTGGTTAGAGTTTGCACAGATGCTGCTTGACTCGGCCGCGGATGATCTGGTTGAGCCGGACAGGGTCAGGCAGCTAATGCGAGACCTCAGGGAAGTGAGAGCCGCAAAGATGCGCAAGGGGGTCGAAGTGCTGACTGGCGAAGGAGATGGCGTGCGACTAGATGGCGTTGGGGCAATGGAGATCGGTGAAGGAAGAGGCTTCATATCTGGCGTGGTGGATGGACTGAGGAAACTTGGGGCGTCCAGAGAGCAAGCTCGGAAGGACAGAGAGGAGGAAGAGAGGGAGAACGGATATAGAGGTGGTGGCGATGAAGATGATATGCAAGATTAAGATTGATTATTGATATTGATACTGACCAGTCTGTCCCCTGTTTGCACACTCACATACTTCGTGACAGATGGTCCAGAATTTCTCACGATCCGCATGCTTCCTGGTCTCTCTCCTGCATTCTGCGCCGAGCTGCAAGTATCATTTCGTCCCTCCTACGTTGTAACATTTCTTGCCGCTTGTCCTTGTTTGCTGCCCATCCAGTCGCAGGGGCTGGTTCTTCCTTCTCCTTTCCCTTGGAACTAATCCGAGACTGGAGATTATAACGAGTGATAAGATCGGGCTCGGCAGCTTTAGGGATGACCGAGGCTATGGCTGCTGTCGAGACAGCATTTGTGGAAACTGGAATCACCGGTTGAAAGGACGGCGGTGCCTGCGGACAAACTAAGCTGAAGCTCGCATTAAGAAAGCGGTTGACCTCACCCTCTCAAGACCTCTACCACCCAGCACTCGCTCTGTCGTCGCAGCTACGCTTCCTCCGTTCCGCTGGAGATCCCACATGATATCTCTTCTGCTTAGCTGTGGAAACATTTGCGCCACCTGCTCAACTTGGGCGCCGGTAAACCGCTGACCTGCTCTTTGCGAGGCCACGGCGGTATCTGTGGATCGCGAAGAAATAAAGTAACGTATAATGAAGAATGATAGAAAGGCAACGAAGGCAAGTGACGGGATCGATAGAGTAGCCTCTTCGTCAGACGACGCCATCGTGATAAGTCCGTCGATAGGTGTCTATTGTGCACTCCAAATTTCAGGTTCCGTAGTTCTGAGTGCGCCCAAACTTGTCACAGAGCTGACAAGAACAGCTTAAGCCTCATGATCCGATGTGGATGGAGTAGTAATCAATTGAGATCGGGTATGATGATAAACACGTGGTGATGGGGAAGATGTTGGCAGCACTCTAAATCCACCCCCGGGGGGAGTGGGGGGAAAGACAGTCTCACTCTCACTCCCCGACGCTGGCACCTGAAACCCTGGAGGCTACACCCAATTCATCCGCTGCCGCAGCACTTTGAGTTCAGCTCCAACCCGTCGACCTCAGCTTCATAACTTACACTCTGGAACGTCATGGCCATGGCCATGGCTATTGGGTCCTGATATTATGATATCTAATTACTGGGATCTGAATCAGTCACGAAAAGACCACTGCGGCTTAATCAAATGCACTAGCTACAGTTAAGCTTGTCGAATGTTCTCGTCCCTGACTTACGTCCACCACCGCAGCCTGTCCGCAGCGGCGACCTCTGCTTACGCGACATTTTCAACCTGCGCCCATCAGTTTAAAGAGCACTTCTAATCATGGCCACCTCTACTCCGCCTCCCGAAGACTCTTCATACACCAAGATGGATACAGCGGACCTCGAGTCAATCGGCGCCCGCTGCCAATTCGCCTACTGCCATCAACTCGACTTCCTCCCCTTCCGCTGCGACTCCTGCAAATCCACCTTCTGCCTCGATCACCGCTCCGAACTAGCCCACAGATGTACCCACGCCGGCGAATGGGCGAAGAACCGACGGAAAAACTCCGTGGGCAAGGTCAACAACACCACAAGCAGCGCACCCGCTCTCCACGGCCTCACCCCAACCCAGTGCTCAGAAACGCAATGCAAAACCACCATCAACACCATCCAAAACACCGGTTCCCGCTGCACCAACTGCAACCGGCAATACTGCCTCAAACACCGGTTCCGCGAATCCCACAACTGCGCCGCCATCGCCCCCCTCGTCGCGCGCCAATCCTCCTCCTTCAACCCGCTCGAAACCCAAGCCGAAAAAGTGCGTCTCGGCTTCTCGCGCCTCCGCTCCTGGGGCAAAGAGAAACAGGAAACTCTCAAGCCGAAACCGAAACCCACCAGCCGCGCCGCCCAGCTCGTGGCGCTGAACACGCTCAAGAAGAGCGCCAAAGGCGACGACAAACTCCCGCTTGAGAAGCGCGTCTACCTGCACGTCGAAGCCGAGGCCGCGACAACCACCAGCAAGCTGCCCAAGGCGGAGCTGTATTTCAGTTCGGACTGGAGTGTCGGACGCATGTTGGATGAAGCGGCCCGGAGGCTGCAGGTGGCCAATGTGAATAATCGGGTGGAGACGGAGGAGCAGAGGTTGCGGGTCTACCATGTGGAGGGCGGGAGGTTATTGGAGTTCAGCGAGAAGTTAGGAGTGGGCGTGCAGAGTGGCAATACGGTTGTCCTGCTCAGGGGGGTGGGACCGGCGGTGCCGGATCTGATCGAGGCTTGATAAGGATAAGTCGCGAGGGGTCAAGAGATGGGTTTGGGTGATTGGGAAAGGGTACCTATATTAGAAGGGGTTTGGATTAGCGATGGTGTTTGGGCATCTGGTCACAGCCGCGAAGACTAACGTACTGAGACGAACCAGTGGCTATCCTTGATCGACGTTCTATCTAACCTGCGATATCTTATACAATATACAATGGCAGCTCGAATTCTAGTCTAACCAGTCCGCAACCCCTTCATATCCGAGTCTCTAGTGATATACATGGAACCCTTCTTCTCCTAAGAAACCCTATCTATACAAAAAACAAATCCCAGAATGCACCAGCACCGGGACCCCCTTACCAACACCCAACAAATCACCCCACACATACTTCCGCAGTACTTCAAACACTCATTTTCATCTTCAACCCAGCATGCGGCTTATAGCCCCTGACCTGCAACTCGTCGACCTTCCAACCATCCATGACGCCACTGCCCCTATCGGGCCTGTCGATATGCAACTCAGGAAACTCCGTGGGCCGGCGGCGCAGCTGCTCGGTCAAGGCGGGGACGTGATCGAGATAGACATGGGCGTCGCCCATGGTGTGGATAAGGGATGCGGGGACGAGGTCGCAGGCGTGGGCGAGCATGTGGGTGAGGAGGGCGTAGGAGGCGATGTTGAAGGGCACGCCGAGACCCATGTCGCAGGAGCGTTGGTACAGCAGGCAGGAGAGCTGGCCTTTTGCTTTTGTTTTCTTCTTCCCTTCTTCCGCGTTCGTGGTGGTCGCCTTGTCAGCAGACGACGACAGCGCATCCACGCCACGCGCCGCATCGGGATACGAGACGTAGAACTGCGCGAACACGTGGCAGGGCGGCAGCGCCATGGCGGGCAGGTCTTTCACGTTCCACGCGCTGAGCAGGATGCGCCGGTCGAAGGGGCTGTCCCTCAGTTTGCGCACGATCTCGCGGATCTGATCGACGCCCTTGCCGCGGTAGTCGGCGTGGCAGTCGGTGTACTCGGCGCCGAAGTGGCGCCATTGGAAGCCGTACACCGGTCCCAGGTCGCCTTCTTCGCGCGACTGGAAGCCGAGTGCGTCCAGGTAGGCGCGCGAGC